TCTGACCAGCTATGTAAACACCAAAGCAGCAATAGATTAATGTCAATCCTGTTCTCAAGATTGAATATCCTGTGGAAATTACAAGCCAGACCTTCCACTCTAAACCGGATGGGGGTGAGGGGGTGGAATTAAGGAAAACAGAGGAGGAAAGGGGCCAGTGTGCCAAGCGGGAGGGACGAGCGTGGTGAGCTGCCTGGATGGTTGGGGAGGCCAGCCCCCCCTCTTTAGGGTGTTTGGTTTGTCTGTCCAAGCCCCCCCTCCAGAGTATTTGGTCTTTCCCATTTTCTTTGCTCACCCCCAGGCACCCCAGCCCCCTCCGCTCCCACACCGGAAGTTGTCAATCAGTGCCACCCCGCCCTGCTTCTCAAACACCACCATGTTTACAGTCAAGGCGGAGGGACATGGCAACGTTGTGTGCGTGTGTGTGTGTGCCTGCGCCTACGGAGGGAGGCCAAACACACACATGCACAAAGCTGAAGCATTAGGCATACCTCTACACACCCACGCAGATAATCGCACACAACTGTTCAGCCTAAAGTGGAACCATACATACTCACCCGCACGTGTAATTACACGCAGACATGTGCGAGCGGGCAGACTGAGATCACAGGGTCACGTGCAAGAGACGCGGCCTCACTCAGCAGCACGAACAGACACGCAAGCACACACACACACACACACACACACACACACACACACACAAAACCCAAACCACTGAAAACACTGAACTGCTTTCTAGAAAATTCCCGCTCCCCTTAAGGATAAAGGCTAGAGTGTGTTCAGGGCGTCCAAGGCAGATGCCTGACTAATAAATCGAAGAGGACCCCCGTGCTTCTGCAGCCCAGAAACTGCTCCTGTGAGCGGCGGCTGAATCTTCCGGCTGAGTGACCCTTTAGGGACAAGGCCATGTGGGCGACAGGGGTGTGACTGGGAAGACTCCACCCAATGAGATTCTCCATGACGTCACAGATGTTACCATAATCCCTGTAAGTCAAGGGACCTTTTTTATCGTGGCTGCACATTTGGGGAGGAGGGACATGCCCCTCATCCCCCTCATGTGACTTGTGGGTGGCCCGATTGGGCGCCTTACGGCAGTCGGCAGTGTGGCTTTGAGAGTATGGTTCAGCCTTGGCGGTATCCCTGCGTTGGGCTGCTTTCTGGCTCCCTCCGCGCGTCCCAACCCACACCGTCAAACCATTACAGCCATGACTAGGCAGTGCTTGTGTCAGTCATTATCCCTGCACTGTAAACAACCCAGAACTGACTTCTCATGGTGACTATTTTCAGGTCGTTGGTCTCTGTGTCCACATACACGACAGTACTTATAACAAACCATGAACAAACCAGCAACATCCCAGCGTACCTCTGGCCCTGGCTCAGTGCACACCCCCCCCCCAAGCCCCCCACTGTGGTAGTAAATCAACCTGGCAGTTAGCTAGGAAGCAGCTGCTAATGATGGCTTTACAGCGGGTGGGGGCTCAGGAAGTGACCTCTCGACCTCGGGCAGCTCCTCATCTCCTGTAGCTGTGACAAAAGGACAAGGAACCCAGCGAATGCCAAGTTGTGGGGCGAGTCTAGTCACAACACCACAGGAAACCTGCCCCCCCCCCCCAATGGTGGCCATATACACCAGACAAAAACTTGTCTCCCCAGGAGATTCCAGTGCTCAAAAATAACACAACTCCTCCTGCCCCCAGCCTCACCATTTCTGGGAATGCTCACATGTATCTTAAAACACTGGGGGGGGGGGTGGGGTGCTGAGGGTTGAAGATCCATTAGGGTTGGAAAAAGCAGGAGGAGGTAAAATCATGATAGGGACAGGCAAGGTCCCTGGGGGCCCATGAGAACATGAGCGTGGGCCCAGAGCGGCCCCCTGCTTTCCGGGGTCCGCTAGGCTCGGTGACGCCTTGGCTACACGCAGAACCCAAGTCCAGGGCCACGAGGCTCTGCCGCAAAGACCGATGGGAACGTGGTCGGAGAAACGGGAGGCGGTACGGTGCTCACCGTGAAGACATCGTCGTCGCCCAGGTCTGCTTCATTATGGAGTGTGGAGGAGGAAGTAGTGGATCCTGCAAAAGAAAAAACAACATGGCCGCAAGTCAACGATCAGTGCATGACCCCATCAAGCTGCTCGCCATCCATCATTCAGCCCCACAGCACTGCTTTGGATCCACCAATAGTGTCAAAGCAGACTTCAGACAGGCGTTTAGAAGGTTTTAGGCAGGCAGTCCTGGCTGAGAGAGGTACGCACTGACAGTTACCATCTGCCAGGTCCTCCATGGCCTTCCTCACTCCCCGGTCGAAGGCCCGGGCGTCGGCTGGGCTCTGGAATGTCAGGCCGAATTTCCTGTTGTTCACCTTCCAATGGTGAAACGTGGGCGTGGCCTTGATGTAGACGAGGTCTTTCTTCAGAATGCATTCCAGGATCACCTGCCGACACGGATATTTGTGAATCACAGGGTCACAGGAGCCGTGGCGCCGAACCACGACAGGGCGCGTGCGGGTTAACACCGTGACGAAATGAGGCTGGAAGAATGACGGCAGGGCGACAGGAGGAAACCCGCACATCGCAGGAGGAACGTGCAACCTTACACACACACACAGGAGGAAACCCGCACATCACAGGAAGAACGTGCAACCTTACACACACACAGGAGGAAACCCGCACATCACAGGAAGAACGTGCANGAAACCCGCACATCACAGGAAGAACGTGCAACCTTACACACACACAGGAGGAAACCCGCACATCACAGGAAGAACGTGCAACCTTACACACACACGCACACACACACACACACACACACACACACACACACACACACACACACACAGGGGGAAGGGATTCAAACCCTGATACCCACTGAGACACCATGCTTCCCTACAAATATAACTGCTACAGAAATTCATAGCAGATCTCAAAACACCCTCCCGTACGTGTCTACTCACTACAACAGCGTGCATCACCACAACCCCATAATGGTCACATAGTTATGGAAGATGGATGGATCACTGTGTGAAGGAAGCCCCACAGCAAAGGAGACCATCACATACAATAATAATATCATTTTATAGGTCTGCCACTAAATCGATCAGGCGGCATATACCGGTTCGTTTGGAAAGGGAAAAAATGAAGTTGCTCTGAAAGGACACAGAACCATCACTGCAGGGCCCCAGCGAGACAGGGGTCGCAGCTTTGCTCGGTACCCAAAAACGAGCTTTGTTTGGGGGGGGGGGGGGAAAATCACAAAGATCCCCTCTTTTGAGGAAGATGCATGATTCTTTTAATAGTCCCACCCAACATTTAGGGTGGTGTTTGGTTCTGTGGGCTGGGATGCTGTGCCTGTGCTTGGATGGTCGGCGGTTCAAATCCCTTGGTTGTCAGGCTGATTTCACTGTTGGGGCCCTTCAGAAAGACCATTAATCCCAGTTGCTCCAGGAATTGGCTCACCCTGCCTTCTCAAATGTACATCGCTTTAGATAAAAAGCGTCTGCTAAAGAAATAACTGTAAATTTAGAAAACTGCGACATGCATTACATTACGGGACAGGTCACATGACCTATGCCTATAATGTCCCTGGTAAATACTATACTCTGTGGACCTTCCTGGACAGAGATAGACATCCATTCATAGAACAGTCTGCACACAGGACCGAGTGAGTTGGAGCGATGTCACCGTCACGCTCCTGCCCTTAAATGTCCCCTCCATTCTGCTCCTGCCAATTACCCGCCCGTCCCGGGCTGGTTGGGACCCTCACCTGCTTGTCTTTCAGCCGCTCTCCTCGGATGAGGAAGTCACTCTGTCCGGGCAGCTCGGCAGGCAGCACCTTGTAGACCCCCACCCGGCTGAGACCGCCTCCCTCCTGGGCCAACCAACCACCACTAGAGTCGTCGCGGGTCATTACCACCCCTTTGACGCGCACAATGTAGGTGTCACTGCATGGGGGAGAGAGGAAAAACAATGGTGAGATAGAGAGCGTGTGAGAAAGAGGGGACACCCCCGCCCCTCCACCATATAATCACGAACATCTGCTTCAACTGACACTGTAAATCAAAAGAGCTCAACAAAGCTTGGTATCAAAACCACTTCTAAGTGCATTTGAAACAGCAACGCCTGGGAAGAGGGCTTACCCAGTTAAGCTATGCGAAGCATCGCTGACAATCCCAGTGACAAGCTGTGGAAGGACTTGGAAGAGTTTGGGCCTTTCTGGCAACAGGCAAATATCGGATGAAGACAGTCCACATAGACTAACAGCTCTGCAGACTGAGTCATCAGACCTTGGAGACCATTTGGACAGAGTCACCACCTGCACCAAATCCCAAAGTGTCGTTCCATCAACAGAAATCCTGAGTGTTGATGGACCGAAGAAATAGATCACCTTGCGTCATTGACATGAATTATAAACACGTCTCCAGGAGACCATTAGAACCTCATGAGAGGAATGCAGCAGAAAGTCTGCCCCAGGAACACCTGAGTCCAGCTACAAACCACCTTAGCTTTTCCCACCAAGCCGAAAGTCGGTCATATGAGGGAACCTGACTTTGCTTTTTAATTATTAACATGGGGGGGAGAGAGAGAACATTTAAGGAAAAAAAGGGAGAACTTTAACAGCCACAACCAATAATCCTCAGTCATCTCTCCATCTCAACCACTCAGCACTCCCAGTACCTCTCCAACCAAAATGTGTCACCTCTTTGTTTATCTTCACAAGTCCAACTAATTCTTCTCCTGACCTCCACTGTAGGATCACCCTATGGTGGAAAACAGCCCAACATCACAACCGATAGCTGTGGGGTTAAAATGGGTGCCCTGGACTTAATATGGATGTGAGCACCCAGGAAGAGCATGGTCTACTCAGCAAGGCTGAGAACGTCCAACAACTTGTCTCCTTCACTTTCCCCCTGAGGGAGGTGGACTGAGGTATTCCACACTTCAGATGTAGATGGTTTCCTGAGCCAGTGTCTGGCCAGTCAAGTGCAAGACAGCGGCAAGAAGGTGATGGTGAATGAGGTTCAGCTTGAAGGCTATGCCACAGCCTTCAGCTAGGGTTAGGTGCCGGTACTGTGTGTACCTTGGTATTTTGGGCACACTGTAGTATTTTTGGTTGGTGAATTTTACTATGGGGGCTCAATGAATTTCACCAACATTTCATTCTGAAGTAGTGTTTCTATTGGAAATAGTATCCTGGACGCCTCAGGACAAATCGGGGACAGTATCCTGGACGCCTCAGGACAGATCGGGGACAGTATCCTGGACGAATCAGACCGGGCACTTCATTCCTGAACTGGAACAAACCCGGCCCCAAATCCACCGGAAGGAAGCAAATTCCCTAAACACAAAGTCAAAGCACATCCTACAGCTGACTGCGTGACTCATCCTGTCTGGGCGCGCGAGGTTCAGGAGAAGGAACACCAGTCAAACCAGTTATACCAAGTGCCTATTGTGAGCTCACTAGGCCTGCATCTACTGGGCTACACCTGGGTAAGACGCTGGTCTTTACTACAACAACAGCAGCACACACACACAAACACACACACACACACACACACACACTCACTCTCACACAGACACACCTTGTTTTGCTGTTTGTGAGGCGTTGTGCACCGGTCCCATGATAAAAACAGATCTTTGACACTAGTCTGACCTGGGTGAGTCAACAGAAACAGGATGCCTCTGGGTTATCCATATTCCCAGGTAAATATGAATTACAGAGTCCATAAACAATGCAGGATAAGCTCCGAGACCGGAACAGGGCGTGCCAAGCGGAACGAACACACACGTCGCGAAGGGGACACCCGCAGCCCACGCCGGAGCCAGATGCCGACTACCACCACGGATCAAAGCCACCGACTTGGACTAGGCTATAAAGGTTATGCAAACAGTCAGCAGGGGTGGTTTCTGGGAGCCTGCAGCACCCTCTTCCAGGCCAGTCCTGTATCCGCCGCTTCTATTTTTATGGAAAATCCATTGACAAACTGTCGTGTTGCAGATGCATGTGCTAACTGGTAGAACCAGCCCCGCCACAACGGAACCCAACCGACAGGCCAACGGAACCCAACCGGCAGGCCGGCGGTCCGACTCCTGCCGAGCGCATACCACTTTGCAGGCAGCGGGCGATTTGCACAATCCCCCCCCTGACCCCACCCCCCTCCCACCTCTTCCCGGTTAGTTCAGGAAAAGGATGACTGATTGGTACAAGCACGGACAAATGCGGAATCAACGGGTAACAGAATGTACGAGGGCGTCCCTGGCCGCAGCTCGGAGACCGGAGGCGTCAGCCTCGCTGCAGACCATCTTCCTGTACTTCAGACAGACATACCTCCGGACCCCACACAGGTTCATATCCTGTCGACTGGTTTCGTTTTTGCCCATAATGGGGGTGGGGGCTTCATCCCCTGGAGGCTGAATTCTTCCAGGAAATGCCCATGCCTAAAAATGCGAAACCGAACGGCAGTCCATCCGCATCTCCTGTTTGCGAGAGAGCACTTGCTGAAAGACTGAATAATGCAACGTGTTGTAACCAGAGTCTGGGCAGATGCATCCTGCATGTCAGCGGTGGCGCTTTTCCGCCGCCCAGCTGCGCTGTACGTGCAGGTGCCCGGGCTCCGTCGTCAGAGACCTCCTCCGACGGGGCCGATTCAAAGCCGTCTGTCCCCACCCTACCCCAGGCCACCTTCTGGACTGCACCATTTGTACATTTGTCTTCTCTGCAATGACAGTTTTTGGGAATAACTGCAGAAGAAAAACAAGGAGCTACAAAAAAGTACGACTATTTACCAATGGGATACAGATTACAAAATTAAAACCCCTTCTACCAACCTGTGATATGCAACCAATCAAACTGGAAATCGATTTTTAGTTGAGGTGACCTCAGGGAAAAGATAAGCTTATCTACTTTTAAGATGCACAAACACCAACTAATTGTATCTCAATTATTGTGTCTTAATGCTACGCCTTGCTAAGACTAGTTTGCGCGCTAGCAACCGATTAGGCGTTTCAGGAGATTCTTCAGCTTCATCCTGGCCACGCCAAAGCTGCCGCCTGCGACGAGGAAGTCTACCATGCGCCAAGCTGAGCTCCATGCTGTAGGACACGCTAGACGCCTGGGTTGTTCATACTCATCGTGATACAGTGACGTCTGATGTCGGACGGACAAACACAAGGGTGTGGGAGGAACTGTGCTCCCCTCCAGGAATGTCCCACAGCTCGGTGAAGCTGGCCTGACTGAGGGCTGCCATGACCTCGTCCCCTAAACCAGCATGAGTTTTAGGTGCAGAGAAGAGATCTACTAATTGGACAGTGAGAAAACTTGGTCTTTTTATGCTTTTCAATTCGACGGTGTCCTTTTTTAGCTATGCCACTATATTACGAGCAGCTCCAGACTAAAATGAAAACAACATTCTGGCCTAGTTCCTGCTTTAGACAATCACATAAAAACAGGGGGTGTCAAATATAACTCCTTGAGGGCCAGAGGTCATGCTTGTGTTAAGGCTATTAGCCTGTTCCCACTGACGGCGCTCTTAATTCAATTCTGGGAGTAACTGGAGCATGAGAAACATTGGATATGAATTACCGTGTGTTGGCAATCACCTATAAAGTAACCAATAGGAAATGGGCTAAATGAGCCAATGACATTATAGCCCCATCCAGTGTGGGTTTCAAAGCCTTTGCATGAGTAACACAGTTAATCAATGATTACTTTGTCTTCTTAGCCCCACGACAATTAAGTAGCTATACATAATTGATCACCCTGAGGTTGCATACTAATTTATTCTAGTTCTAGTTTCACAAAGAACATAAACAGTATATTGTGAGAAGGAACTGTTATTAGACAATGTTTTGGAGTGCAGTTAAATATGGTTTAATGTGGCTGGATTGTTATGCTGTCTTTCAGTAACTGGCACAAAAACAAGCAAATGTGGTCAACACGTCTAATCAAGACAAGGGTAATTATGAGCCCAGCTATGATATAAAATAAGTTTCGTAGCATGACGGCCAGGCGGACTGGGGATTTAACATTTAGCGGCAAACTGCCTCATCTAGCAGTTTGAAGCAAAGTTTTGCAAACTGTTTTACAAGAAAAAAAATAAAAGGAGTTGTAATTTTAGGTGGAAGAAAATATCATGAGAATAAGAACGAAACACATTCATTTTACCCCCCTCCCCCCCCTTTTCTGACCTGACCGGTCCACCCTTACCTCCTGAAACCTGACATGATCGAGCCTCTGGTCATGTGAGATGGGAGAACCACTAAGTGGCGGCCATATGACACCCCCCACCTGACGATGACCTCCAAAGGTTCGCCCGCGAGGGGACACCGTGCCATTCGAAATGGGTCGATTGTCCTTGCCGGGCCAGCGGGCCCCCCGATGGGTTACTGCTGCAAGGTAATACAAGATGGCCTTGTGGGAGACCGCGGCTGGGCAGGGATCAGTGGGGCTGACCGGATGGTCGGCGGCCGGGGGGGGATCCAGGAACCACGCATCCTGTGTTTCTAAAAGGTACACAGAAAGCTATTTGGAGAAGAGGACACCGGGGAACAGGGGGACAAAGTCAACAGAAACACAGGAATTTTTTTTTACTGTCCCTGCAGAACGAGAGACCTTAAAGACGCCTGTTTCCATCTCCCAGGCCGCAGGGAAGTCCCAGCCAATCCGGTGCCTTCCAATGACAATCAGGCAGGTATGGTGTCCCCAAGCAAGGCCACCAGTGAATAATCGCCAGTCACAAGGCAGAACTGTGACTCGCTTTATTTGTTGTTACAGTATTATTTGTTTTTGCAAATGACTGCTATATAACTAGTCCAGTAGAACCAAAGCTGCAATAAAATTTAAGTATGAAAGAAAAACTATTTGAATCCTGTACCCATGCAAATAAAACCCAGATGGGCTAGTGGGCTGAGATCCAATCACAGAGAGCCTGCATTTTTAGGGGGA